AGGTGATGGAGATTTACCACTGATTACAGAACCGGCTTTCTGACAAGATGCGCATTAAATATCACATGCGATTTATCGTGCAGCCCTAGTGTATTTGTTTTGTTAATAAAAGTTTTATGTTTTATATATAGGCTAAAGTGAGTTTTTAACATTGTATTTTGTTGTTGCATTCAAGCAATTGACGCCTAACTGCCGCTAATTCAAAAGTGAAAGTAAAATGCGCACGGCGCTTTTAAGCGATTTAAAAGCGACGGAAAGCGAGGAAAAGAGGGAAAATTCAAACGAACTAAAAACGAACAATTGCTTTACGCCGAATTGCCGCTATTTCAAAGTGAAAGTAAAATGCGCACACTGCATTTACAAGCTATTTAAAAGCGAAGGAAAGCGAGGAAAAGAGGGAACGCCCCGCCCCCACGGTGATACTGGTATTACCGGTGTTGTCACACGTCGATTAACCGGTGGGAAAATTTCCTCACCATCACAACCCTAGTATTAATGTGGAGGAGATAATCAGTTCACGTCTGTTGAACTGAGGCGCTACAGCGATCTGTCACACCACAATAAACAGCACCAAAATGGCATTTATTGTTTGAATACCGCAATACAATGGACAGAATTTGAAATCTGAGACTTTTTCATATTTAAAGTACCAAAGCACAATGCTTATTGTGATATATTGGATGGGAGGTGCTCTTCAACGTTCCTTCCATTAACTGAAAACAGGCTAGACTAATCAATTCTTGGGATTTAAGAATCTATATCGTTCCGTAAAAATTATAATAGATTAATATCGAGATATCGATATTTTTTACCCAGCCCTATAATCCACAATATTCTACTGACTCCTGTGGGCTCCATATACAGTGGTGTCCAAAATTATTAGAACACTAGTATTTTCACAAGCTAAAAAATGGTTTTAAGTCAGTTATTTCTATCTTTTGCTGTAGTGTGTCAGTAGGAAATATCAGTTTACATTTCCAAACATTAATTTTGCCATTAATTGTAATAATCCAGTGAGATTTTTGTCTGACAGCAGCCAGTGCTCCACACAGAGATCTGATCTGATCATCATCCAGTCTTCTGGAATGACATGAAGAAACAGAACAAACTGAGACCAACTAAATCCAGAAGAACTTTGGCAATGTCTCCAAGATGCTTCAAGAAACCTACCTAAATCATTTTGGGCACCACTGTAGCTCTGATAATATATGTAAACAAACATATGTATTTTAATTCTGAATTCTAGCTATATTAGTGTAATAATAAGTAAAAACCAAAACATACAACAAAAGGACCATGACTCTGCTCCAGAAGTGACAGACACAGCCGATAAAGAGCAGTCCTCCTCCAAATTGCCAGTAATCAGCTGAGGTAAAAAAAAAAAAAAAAAAAAAAAAAAAAAAAAAAAAAAAAAAAAAAAAAAAAAAAAAAAAAAAAAAAAAAAAAAAAAAAAAAAAAAAAAAAAAAAAAAAAAAAAAAAAAAGATTGTGAGAAGACACCTTTTTTTTTTATCTGGGATTAAAACAAATTAAAAACATGGAAGAAAAATACTGTGAATATTCCTTTTAAAAATAAATTAATGTTAGTATGTCTTAATGTTAAACATGAATACTCTGAAGAGCATGTCATAGAAGATTTTCATTCCCAAAACTTCTGGATCATGAGGGGGAAGCACACACACAAACAAATTAATATCAATTTGTTTAATAAAACACTATCTACTTACTGACAGAGACATGGGCTTGCAAAAATGTACTCACCAGCTCCAAACAAAATCTTCATCGTTGATCCAAAATCCTGGTTTACATACAGTATTCTTTTCCAAGGAATCCAAGGATGCCTTCAGGTTCTCTCTGTCAAATGAGTTTACATGACAGTGTTCTCAAATTACTCATTTCAAAGTTCCTTCACTTTTGAGTTTGATCTTAAAACTATTATTAACTATAAATGTTCTGTAAAAACAATGAACAGCAGCCTTTAGCCTGTCACCATGATGCAAACATGAAATATCAGACATACCTTTTTCTATGTAAACACGCGTTTGACTGTTGCGCTCGCGTCTCTTGCAACGTCTCATGCATGAAATGGCATTCTAAAAACGCGGCACTCAAGTAAAAAATAGTTCAACTCCCATCTTCTTACATTTTTGCCTGGGTCGCATCTTTGTCAACACAAAAGCGCATTCTGTGTGAATGGCATCTAGCGATATATTCTACTTGTGGTCCTTCACAGAGCGCGTCACACGTGAGCGGTTAATCACGTGCGCCGACATGCGGTTAGATCATTCTTTTCTCTTTACTGTAATCATTGGCATATTTTCATATTGTATCATTCAAATTTTTGGTAATATTTCTATTAAAAATCGTGATTCCTCGATTTATAAAAAATAAAATTGTGGCAAAACATTAAATTCAAATTAATTGATAAAATCGGAAAAATCACCCAGACCTACACTGTACATTCCTAAACATCGGGTTAACATTCTTATTTGTGTATGTGCAGTATTGTGTAATTGATTTGATGAACGCAGCACTACTGTAGAGATGGTAGAGATGCACTGGTCGACAGGCCATAAATCAGAACCGGACATTCTCTGTTGTGGACTTGCACACATATTGCATTTCAGTTAGGGCTGCACGATTAATTGAATGCGATTGCCATGCACATTTTGTCAGTAAAGCCGGTTCTGTAATAGGGCTGAACGATTAATTGCATTTGCGATAATATCACGATATGAAAAAACGCGATTTTTCAATCGCAGAGGCTTCGATTACACTCGGTGTATGACATCAAAGTACAATGAGAGAAAGCATAAGGAGACGTCCGCTCTCTCTTATAGCTCTTGCAGTACTTTGATGACACACACCGATCGGTCTAAGCAGCACTGCTTCAAGTCGAGCGCGTGCCATCAGCAGAAAAAGAAAAGAAATAAAACCATAAACAGCCAAAGGACGTAACTTAGAATGGGAGATGGATCGGTTTGTGAAAGGGACTTTCAGATGGAGCAGCATTTACTACACAGAGCCGTATTTCACTGTCAAGCTACGCAATAACTTGAATAATTCATAATTATCGTTCGCGATAATGACAGCTGTTTGCGTAACTTCTCAGTGAACTACGGCTCTGTGTAGTAAATGCTGCTATTATAAATATACTTTATTATAATGAAAATTATAATAATAAGAACTCGGATAAACCATATATTGTCGTAGTCGTCCGTTTATTATTAATCACGCTGAATCAATGAAAGCAGTTAAAGGGGTCATATGATGCGATTTCAAGTTTTCCTTTCTCTTTGGAGTGTTACAAGCTATTTGTGAATAGATAAGATCCCTAAAGTTGCAAAGACTGAAGTCTCAAACCCAAAGAGATATTCTTTATAAAAGTTAAGACTTGTCCATGCCCTCCTATTTTTTGGGCAGTGTAGAGTAGGGCTTGTTGTTTGTCATTTCTCCGATCACAAATGCAGACATGGTTTTATGTTTACGTGGCGCAATGTAACGCGTAAAAAGACAGCATAAGTAATTATAATCTGTAATTATGTTTCCACTGGATGCAACAAATGCCTCGTTTATAATGGGTTTTATTGGTTTTGTCTCGTCGCTCCGGGACACGGCATCACAATATGGTAAGGGGCGTAACATTTCCGTCACACGCTTGAGGTATTCGGCCAATCACCACGCACTGGATAGCTGGCCAATCAGATCACACCTCGCTTTTCAGACCGATGAGCTTTGTAAAAATCGACGCGTTTCAGAAAGGCGGGGCATAGAGGAGAAACAATAATGTACAGTATGTGGAAAATACCTTAAACCGCATAAACACATTTCATTACACCAAATTCACAAAATAATGTTCTTTTTAGCAACATCATATGACCCCTTTAAATCTTCTGTTTATTCAGCTACCGCTATAGGGATTTCCTGGATTTGTTCTGCAGGGCGTATTTGGAGTTTCTGCGTGAGAGCGCCCTCTGGCCTTTGGATGGAGATTTACTGCTGATCACTGAACCGTTCTTCACTGAAAGATACGCATGAAAATTGCAGCATTTGCCTAATCGCGATTGCGATTTCATTTCGATTTATCATGCAGCCCTAATTTCAATCATTTTCCAAAACTGTCATTTGTGTGAAAATCATACAAAGTCTGTAAACGGCAAGTAACAGAGGCCTGAGACACTGAGGATGGATGCAAAGAAGAGGCAGAGTAAGCTCACTGTTCACAATGCGTAAAATATTATAAGAAAATCAGTAAATATTGATTTGGGGTTGGGGGTTTTTATGAATGTCTCTGAGATAAACTGATCATTGACCAACTGACCACTGACTGGCATTTTCTTTTCCTCTTGCCTCCGTATAATGCATATTAAAGTAGTGTTTATAGGCACAGTGCTGCTGTTCCATAAGCGCCATCTACTGTCAGAGAGCATCAGTCTAATGTGACATTTACATGCCATGTAGAGGGCAAGATTTTCAGTAAATGACTTACATTTTGTTCTGTTTTAATTAGGGATGTGCGGGTCTAGTCGACTAGTCGACACTGAAAATAATAGTTGATTACACGACAGAAAAAAAAACAAAAACATGATTTTATCATTCAAATTACCGTAATTTTAACATTGCATTTAAAACATTTTAAATAACAAGTTAAAATAAAACGTTTGAAAAATAATACATTATTTTAAAAAGTTTATCTGGGCGGAAACTACATTTTTACCTCAGACCTCACATGCGTTTTCTTCGTATCAGTTGCGGTGAGTTCAAAAATGACCACGCGAAAGACGAGAAGGTGTGGGATTATTTTGAATTAGAAGGAAACGGAAAAGTTTTGTGTAAACTGTGTAATGTCAAATTGTCTTACAATAACTCTACTGGAGCGATGCGTAATCATATTCAATACAGGCACGTAGGCGTTAGCTTAGAGGTTGGCCAAAGCCAGCAAATGTCAATCACGTCATTCACTACAACCCGCCTATTCCTCTTAACGAAGACCTACTTCGGTGTTGGTACGGGATGTCCAGGCGCTTTCTGAAACTCTATCGGCTTGCTTTTCGTTCAGTCAAATTAGTCGTCGCGCACATCCCTAGTTTTAATATTGTATGGCTGCAGAAGACTTAATAATGCACTAATCTTGTTAACTATGTTACTTTTATGGTTTTTATATGGAAAAGAGCAGCAGCACAAACATTCGTTAAAATATTTTTATATTTCTTTGTGTTCCATGAAAGTAAATATATCATATGTGTTTGGAAGAGCATGAGAATGCTTCATACACATTTTTTATGAGATAACTCCACCCTGAAATTAAAATTGTCATCATTTATTCACCCTCATATTGTTCCAAACTTTTTTTTCTTAATTACTTAACTTTAAAACTCACTAAACCCCCTTTTTTTAAAAAAACCAACAGCATTATTTCTGTCATCTTATAGTCCTGTCTTCATTCCTATTAAATTTTGGTTGTTAGTTGTTTGACTAATGAAATGGTCTGTTTTGTAGTTATCTAACCTGACAGACTTTAGCACTGATTTGGCGAAAATATCTAAACCGAGTCAACGACCTATGAAATGTAAACTTCCCCGAAAGCAGGGCCCCTGCCTTTCTGTTAGTCTCTGAGCAACTTGTGCAACAAATTGTGAAAGGCATTTATACAAATGGGAGTTCATCGCATCTGTCTTCTCTTGGGGAAGGGGGTTGCGCGGTTTAAGCAGTTGCACTAGATTACAAATAACATACATGATCAGCCATCTGCTGCTGTCTATTTTTCATCTGGGCTGATTGGTACAGTTTTCTATACCATAAGAATTTAAATTGTTGTGGAAATGCAGTGGATTGTACATTTTAAACCGAAGCCTTTTCAAGGATTTGGACGTGTTCTAGGACAAAGAAATTAAGTAAGTCCAAACAACGCTAGGTAGATTTGATCGTTGTTAGTCATGGGTAATGTTAATTTAATCAGGTTTTGAATTTCACAAAGGTTTTGTCCTTTTGCTCTCCAAAAGCTAGTTTCGTATCCTAGTTCTCAAGGTTTCTTTGTCAACAGCAGGAATCTGTTAATGCATTTGTGCCATGTTGTTCTGTACAGTGTTTCAAAGGTCAGCAAGCAAGCATCACTATTACTTTTGCTCATACTTGGGTATGAGAGAATGTTCAAATCTCTTACTTTTAAATATTAAACTTTTCTGCAACTCATTCCGCACCATGAATGAACCTGAAAGCCAGCATAAATGGTATGGTTTATTAAAACAGGTGAAAAATCCCACAGATTAACAATGAATGAGGGATCCAAGCCATGTTTGGGGACCAGAATATCTTTAAAAAATTGGGACTGTTTTGACTGGATCCAGTAAGCAAACACATTTACATCTATGCTTTTAGGAAATATTATTCAGGGTATGTATCACATATATAGTAGGAGTAGGGATGCACGATATTGGATTTTTGCCAGTATCCGATATGCCGATATTTTTCAACTCATTTTGGCCGATAGGCAATGCAGATACCAATATATTTCCTTTTGTTTGGAAACAACACCAAGTCTCTCCTATGCAGAAATGATAAACAGATTATTTTTAATTTTGGATAGTTTTTAACCAAAATTACTTAGTATTACTTGTTAGAATTAAATAAACAATTAAGTTATTTTATAATGAGAATTCACTGAAAGCTAAAAAAATTAAATCAACTATAAGTCAATCACTGCATTTCTTTTCTTTTTTTTTTCCGACAAATGCAGTGGTAACCTTAACATTTTATTTGAAGATTTAACATTTGTAGATGGTCTAAAGCAAAAGAGTTATAAAAATTCAGAAAATATTTTGGAGCTCCTTGTATTTAAGTTTCATAATCCAAAAAAAAAAAAAAACATATTACGCATTAATG